TTTTTTTTTACAATTACTCATGTCATTTTCTATTCTGTCTCTTTTTATTCTTATAAAATTGTTTACTAAACAAAATTCTTTCTTTGCTACACAAATACACAAAAAATTTGGTACCTCCAATCGACGTAACGCACTCACTTGATAACTTCTAATAGATAGATTAATAAAGAATAGCAGTAATTTAAAGTATAAAGTTTAAACATAAGTTACACTGACCTTATTCATTGTCAAAAAATTATTACAGACAAATTTTTCTATGTGTTTAAAGAAATCATTAAACCTTCTTTTTTTTTTTTTGCAGAGAAATCTTTTGAGGATTTAAGAATTAATGCTACTTGGTTGAAAATTTACAAAAAGAAATAAAAAAAAGCTTTTAATAAACGAAGAACCAAAATAGGCCAAAATGTTTTCAACTTACACAGTTCAAAGCCTGTAAAATTTTTTATTTTTTCTAACGAGTCATTTTTCTGTTTTAGCAGAAAGCTTATCTGAAACGTACTCATTAATTCAACTATCAGAGGAAAGTCTAAAAAGAAGAGACATAAAAAGAAAATTTTTTAACAAACCACATAGAATAATGAGTAGCTTCTAAGATTGGCTACTAACCTATATGAAAGTAAGCAATAATCACAGTAACTAAAAGGCAAGTTTTATAGTGTCAACTGTGATTGCAAATATCATTAATTGATCTAAAAAAGTGCTTTTATCTTATAAAAGCACTGTTTTCACAATTGCTAACAGCACTTACAGAATACTGACAAAAACTTGGATGAAATCTGTAGTAATATGACTAGAATAGCTTTGAATCAAAAGTTCATTACAGCACTGGTCACTGATACCAATTTTTAATTATAAAAAAATTGGAAGCATTAATTTATAATAACAAAAAAACAGTAAGCAAAAAAAAGCAAAAAAAAATATTTGGAGCAAAAGATCTCAAATGGTTAAAATAATAGCGCTTATTAAGTTGTTCTTCTTTTCATGTAGTTAGTCTTCTAAGCCTGTTTGATTTTTGTTGCTGATTGTTCAGTTTCTGATTTTAACTTTATGATTATTCTGTCTGTTGTTCTCGAATACGTAACAATCAATGTTATGACTATTTTGATAACAGATGACACAGTTTTAGTGCCAAACAACGAAAAAAAATTCTGTAGGTACAATTTGTGCTGTTTTATGAGAGCATTTTTTCTTTACTGCTAACAACATTTATTTTTGTTTGCACCGTTAGATTTTATTTATCAGATTTTTCATGTGTTCTTTCCGTATAACGTACATTTTTAAAAAATAGGTGCTTTTTTAAAAATATATTCAGTTTTTTTTTTTTTTTTTTTTTTTTTTTTTTT